ATAGTATACTCCAGAAATTCCTTGACTTGGTTCGTTTCGGAAATTTGAAATCCCTGATCAGTAACCCTAGAGAAACCGTTAATCAATCCTGGGAACGCGTGAAACCATGTTTTCAACAGATCTTGATGAGTTTCCATATGTCCGTTTTTCAATTGGACTTTTTTGCCGAAAAATGGATAACGTGTAGAGACTTGGGATATATTGACTCGGTCATTGGGAAAATACCCGGAGGGAACGTAACGACGGAAGACGTGGAAAAGTACAAAGCGACATTCTCCGCTGAAAACTATGCCAGCATTACCGGTGGCATTAACTACCACCGAAGTAATGCGTTCATGGGTTTATATAATGAACAGAAGAACAGAGGTATAAAGCAAGTTGGATTTGTGGGTATTCCTACACTGGTCATCTGGGTAAGTATTTGGTTAAAAAAAGTGGTTTTAGAGAAGAGATGAATGAGCGAACGAACGAGCGGAAAAACTCACGTAAATTTACTTTCACATGACAGGGAGAGAGGGATCGATTGTTACAGAAGCAAGTGAACCTAGACAACCTAGAGAACTACGTTTCCAATCTTGAGATCAGACGAATCCCAGAAGCGGGTCATTTCATCCACCAAGAAGTTCCCGATAGAGTCAATGATATAATAAGAAAATTCATCACCAGCAAGGGAAATCTTCATGATCTTGGTGAAAATGACAGCCTGTATTGACGAAAAAAAAATTCAATATTCAAAAATTTTTTCGAATTGCATTTTATCACTATTTATTTTGTTACTTTATTATAAATGTTTTTTTTTTTGCTTACACATATTAATTTCATTTAATACACGAGAATTCTTTGTAATGAGAGGGTTGCGGGGCGAAGCCAAGGCGTTGAAAGTTGTGGCTTAAAAAACACTCTTCGTCCTTAATATTTCTTTCAGTCTTTTCTATGTGATATCTAGAGAGCGAGGCTATGCAGCATTTTTTGGTGAAGATTGACTGCAACGGACGTTAGGCAATCGAGAAGAAAACGAAAAAAATGGTGTTCACACTCAAAAAATCAATTTGTAATTGTAATTTTAATTATGTCCCCACTTCAGGATGCAAATCCATAGTCTTTAAAATATATATTTTCTACTTCCAAGCATAGAATCCAAAAAAAAAAAAAAATTTCGCGTCATTCCATGTCACATTACCACTTATATATTACCTCACGTTTGCTGGCTGAGGAATTTTCATTAAATCACCATTTTTGGCTTGGTCAAACCATTAAGACTAT